TCGAGGGAGATTATCAGTGGTCTTGTATGTCTTCCATTTTCTAATAATTGCTCCCACAGTTGATTTCTTCACACCAAGCTGCTTACCTATTGCAGATTCAGTCTTCCCAGCCTGGTGCAGGTCTACAATTTTGTTTCTGGTGTCCTTTGACAGCTCTTTGGTCTTGGCCATAGTGGAGTTTGGAGTGTGACTGTTTGAGGTTGTGGACAGGTGTCTTTTATACTGATAACGAGTTCAAACAGGTGCCATTAATACAGTTAACAAGTGGAGGACAGAGGAGGCTCTTAAAGAAGAAGTTACAGGTCTGTGAGAGCCAGAAATCGTGTTTGTTTGTAGGTGACCAAATACTTATTTTACACCATAATTAGCAAATAAATTCTTTAAAAATCAGACAATGTGATTTTCTGGATTTTTTTTCTCATTCTGTCTCTCATAGTTGAGGTATACCTAGGATGAAAATTACAGGCCTCTCTCATCTTTTTAAGTGGGAGAACTTGCACAATTGGTGGCTGACTAATTACTTTTTTGCCCCACTGTATATGATCAGAGATAATTGGGGGTAATGTACTGGGTCATGCGTCTGCAAAGCAATGTGTTAAATGATTACTATTAATATAAAGGGATATCACAAAAGGGTCCTGCTGATAGATAGTCTCACACAATATCATCAATGCAAGGCTTTCACTTCTATTAACGGTAACATCTGTAAATAACTTCACAGAACAAGGTCAGCTGTTTGCTTTGAGCTCAATATATATACAATCCTAAAGTGGGCCATGACGCATAAGGAGTACTTTACTTTTAGTACTTTAAGTATATTTTGATGTCAATACTTTAGTACTTTTACTTAAGTAAAATATTGAGGACTTTTACTTGAACTCTTTTGACTGACATTGCTTTTAGTTGTTTAGTTGTAGCGGGAATATATGTGATGACTGACCCTGACGAAAGCATAGAGGCAGATGGACATCCAGTTGGTGAGCAGCTTCTCCACCACCGTCTCCGTCCTGCAGAGAGAACACACAGAGAGAACACAGAGAGAACACAGACTGAGAACAGACACTGAGGATCCCTGCCAGACATCTCAAGCTTCAACGTTCAAGGGCTTTATTGGCATATGCACAGATGCTACAGTGTAGATACGGCAACAGCTTAAGTCCCAAGCTCCTTACATAATATATATAGGACATAAAACAATAAAACTAAATTCTAAATATTTGAAATATCTGTGAACACCTTTAACCCCCTCACTCCTCCCCCTCTTACCGCCGCAGCATCAGTTTGGGGTTCTTGGCCACGTACTGCTCCACCAGGTCGTTGAGCAGAGTTTTCAGGATGTCGGTGAAGTACTCCAGCTTGCCGTGCAGCGACACGGTCAGCAGCGAGGCCACGTAGGCCCGGTCTCTGGGGGAGAAGGTCCGCTGGCTCTCCAGAGTGTGGATGAACTGAGGAAGAGAAGAGTGGAAAATCATCCCTCTGTTCAAAGGAAGTGCTTTCTGCACCTCCCGCTGGCGGCGAGGACTACCTTGGTGAGGAAGAGCTTGCTGTTGAGCAGGTTGGACAGCTGCACCAGGCCCTGCTCTACCGTCTGCCTCCGACACTCCTGCACGTCCAGGTCCCGCCTCAGAGGGGACTCCCGGTGGCCGGGGAAGAAGATCCGCTCAGCGTACCTCCGGTAGTCCAGGAACGGGATGCCGGAGCCCACCAGGTCACTGGACATGTCCATCATCTCCGTCATCAGGTCTGAGGCAGGGGGGAGATATGAGCTTCTACTATTATATCATATTATAATATATACAAAATTTTATATAATATATATTTACTTTATTGTATAAATATTTCAGTCCCTGTACATGACTTTGTTAAATTCTTAACGAGAATTGAAGTTATTTGTTTGTATTCATTTATAAGTTGTAACGTTATTAGTTATTTTGCCAAGATTTGAGGCATTCATTGTAACACTCTATTATATAAATATTGTAAAATAAGCTATGCACTTGCTGCACTTCTGTTTAAACTAACTTTGTTTCCTTGTACCTTAACTGTACAGTTTATTTTTTTAAATAAAAAACCCCCCATTATATTACATTACATTCAGGTGTGGAGGGAGGAGCTGGCTAATTGACAGGGGTTGCAGGCTTAAATTAAACTCCTGTGCAGCAGCCATGTGGGCTGTGAGGAACATGTTTATGGAGGTGTGATGTGATGACACCATCTCATGAGGACAGAGGGAAGACAAAGTGGATCTGTTGGCCTCCACAACTTCAATAAACCTTCTTCTTCTTCCATCTCTGGCTCTTCCCTCTGCTTCCTCTGCTTCCTCTGCTTCCTCTGTCCTGCTCTCTACTCCGTCATGTGATCGCTCTCTTACCTGTGAACTCTTTCTTGCAGCGGTCTCTCACGCTGGTCTCCAGGTTCTCCAGCTGGATCTGCACCTTCTTGTAGTCTCTCAGCGCCTGCTTACTCTTCCTCCTGACAGACAGCAGCAGAGACAGGGAGAGAGCACATGTAAACCAGTTTCACACTGGATTAGTGGAAATCCAGATGATTGTGAAAAAGTTGAGTCAAGTAATTTGACCCAACAAACCCCCACCAGTAAGGATCAGGGTTAATCTGGGGGTCATGCTGGGTCCGAATGGAAACACTGGAGGATTGGGGTTACAGAGATGATCCTACACAGGTTTTCCAACACATGAAGGTGAAGGTGGAAGGTTTAAAAGTCTGATCTTCCATCTGCTAAAGGTCCTTACACACCGAGCCGATTTTCGGTGTCGATAGATGTCGGGCTGTCGATGAGCGTCGTGTCGCCATTCTCAGATTGGTGTGTACTGCACCGTCCTGTCTTTACGGCCATGCAGAAACATGGCCAAGACGCAGGAGACGTGAGGCGACGTTCCGTTCTTTGGTGTCAGTTTGGTGTGTAAGGAGCTTTAGTCCCACCTGGTATGACTGGTGTACAACTTCTATGTGAAAGAGATTTGTCATGTGGGCATGACAGATTACATAGTTGCAGAGTATAATTTAATAAATGCCACAATGTTTGTAGGGCTTTGTATATATTAGGTATGCTATGGTTATGTTTCTGTCTGCTTTTCTTCTGTTTTTTTTACATCGGATAATAGTGCCGTAACGGAGCCTTCAGTGTGAATGGCCAAAACGTTTTGACCCTGTAACCCTATTTTACTTATTTAATGCAGGGTTATAGCATTTACTATTAAGTCATCAAGCGGGTCCTGGACCAAAAGGAGGAACTTGATGGATTGAGTACCTCTAACTGAATTATACGGTGATCAGAGCATGGAAGCATAACACCCCCCAACTGACCTGTAGATGAGCACGATGATGAGGACGATGAGGGCTACGATTGAAGCCCCCACCCCGACTCCAATCTGAGCCTCCAGGGGGAAGGTGGCCAGGCTGAGGGTGTCATACTGAACCTTACCCAGGGAGAAGTTCAGGTTGCCCATTCGGACCTGAGAAACACACACACACACAACACACACACAACACACACACAACACACACATAACACACACAACACACACACAACACACACACATAACACACACAAAACTACACACACACACACACACACACACACACAGTCAGCTTATACAGTCGGACCCGCTTGAGGGTTAAAGATCTGAATGGTTTCCTGTGTTTTCAGAGTGAAAGCACACACTCACTGTGAACTCAGGCAGATTGTCGGAGCCCTCCCTCTTCTTGCCGTTGGGTCCTGGTGGAGGCTGCTGAGGGGGGGGCTCACAGTACAGGTGGTTTCTGGTCAGGGTCTTCACAGCACACACACCCTCCCCCACCATAACCTCCAGCTCGTCCTTAGTGACGGCCAGGTCCAGGTTATCCCCCTGAGAACACATGCAGAAGGAACCTACAGTTTAGCTTTCAGAACTTTCCCCTAAAACTCTTCTTCAAAATGTTCAGGCTGCTCCAATTTTTTTAAATTGTTAATAGTGGTGTTATATTTGAATGTAGTCTATGGTTTTAATTGACAGTTATTATTATATTTGTATTTACTCTTGTTTTGTACTACCACAATAAAACATAGCACTGCTTATTATTAGGGTTGGGAACCGAAACTCGGTTCCAGATGAGAACCGATAAGAAAATGCCAGGTATACACAAAATACACAATTTCGGTTCAGCTTAATGGTTCCTAAACGCGGTAGAACCTGTATTCCACTGGGTCCGTCTGCGCCGCGGCGAACCGGTGGAATACAGGGTAACCAGGGCGGACTGGCCATCTGTGTGTTCTGGAGAATCACAGAACGGCCGGTCGTCAGCGGGCCGTTGACGGCCGGCACCGCCCTTCATTTTTTTAAACGGCATCATGTAAGTTGCGCTGACAGGCGACAGAGGTCCACAGTTGCGACGCAGCGAGGCTCCCCCG